TAATCATATCCAAGGACCAGTGGTGGGTTTCAAAAAAATTTGGAACCCCTTCTGTAGATGTGGCCTGCTTTCCAGGACCACTGGTGGAACCTCTTCTAACCGGTTCGGTAGATTTGACGATTCTACCGAATAGGTGCGAACTGGTAGGAACCCACCTCTGTACAGGGGTGTCAAATACAAGGCCCGCGGGCTGGATCTGGCCTGTGAAGTGGTCGGATCAGGCCCATGGGGCTGTCCTGGAAAATGTAAAGGGCTGGCCTGCATCACTTCAGCCCAGTCTACCCAATGCAAAGGGGAAACATCGGGTCAGCGTGGCTTCGCCCCAGTCTAACCAATGCGAAGAGGAAACATGCAAGCAGTTTGGGGAGTAGCATCAAGCTGGCCACGCCCACCCAATCAGTCACACCCAGTGAGTGGTGTCAAGCTGGCTATACCTGCCCAGTTGACCATGCCCGCCCAACCCCACTCCCCCAAAGTCAATCACAGCCCTGATGCGGCTCTCAACGAAATTGAGTTTGACACCCCTGTTGTAGTGAATTACAAAGCAGCTTGTGCATCAAATACTAAACAAACAACAAGTACCAGAACAAAACTTTCACATCAAACTACGTTGAGGACAAAATTTAATGCATTTCAAAGGAGTGGAGTGGCAAAAGTACCACTGTAATCGATTTCACTCAAGGCAAATTGTTCAAGTCCTTACCTGTGGCTCACCCTGCGCTGAGAAAGCATTATACGGAGGTAGCACTCCAGAAGTATTTGCATAACCTTCAGGAGCGGGTTCAAACAACGATGAGTTGAAAATCTACTCAGAAGAAAAGACAGAAGTTTCATTAGAAAGCTGAAATGACAGCCTGATTAGGTTAAAGACTTGGCAGGCTCCTAAAATTACGATTCTTTTTAAGATTCCCATTTTGATTCTCAAATTTCACTTAGAAACGTACAACTTGTGGATGTAGATTATGGAGATCTGATCTGAATTGATGAAGTCAGAAGGTGCTTCTGCAATTCAATCTGATTTCCAAGTGGTTATACAACTGCCATATACAAATTTGGAATCCTTTTTGCTGAAGTATCAGTGGTGGGATTCAAAACATTTTACTACCTGTTCCATGGGTGTGGCTTGGTGGGTGTGGCTTGGTGGGCATGGCAGGGGAAGGATACTGTAAAATCTCCATTCCCTCCCCACTCCTGGGGAAGGTTACTGCAAAATCGCCTGCAACCCACCACTTCAGTGATGTCAAGCTGGCCACGGCCACCCCGGCCATGCCCATTCCAACCCCCACCCCCTTGGAGATCAAACACAACCCTGATGCAGTCCTCAATGAAATGAAGTTTGACACCCCTGGTCTAGAGGAATCCTTGGTTTTGTTGTGGGTTTTCCCCAGACAATCTTCCCCCGTTTCCCCCCCCCCCCGAGGGGTCTCCCCCACAGAAGAAGGAACATCCTGCTTTCCATACCTCTTTTCCGCTCTCGTCGGTAATGGAGATATAGTTGGGAGAGCTTTGATTTGGGTAAGAAAGGAGGACGTCATAATGGACCAGTTCTGCCGTATCCAAGCCAAAATCCTTCCACTGGCTCTGGATCTGCTTGGCCAAGCGAAGGTTCTGCTCTGTTCCGGCCACGTGTGGGAAGCTGGTGAAGGAGCTAGATAAAGCAGAGCACCTCAGGACGGAAGCCGAGCTGAGCCCAGAAATGGGGTGGTTTCTGTTTTTTCTTTCATTTATTTAGTATACTTAGCATCTAAAGAGGTCATGCAATCACTGGTATATAGCACTGATAAAAAGATGTTATACATACAAACACAAATCCTGGTTTAAATAAGGCATCAGAAAATTATATGTGTGTGTGTGAGTGTGTGTGTGAGTGTGTGTGTGTGTGTGTGTGTATGTATGTATGTATGTATATACATACATACACACACACACACACACACTGCATTTGTGCTGATAAATAAATAAAGGGAGACTAGTATAGATCTATTTCAAGCTATTTAGCTCTCATCAGCTAGCCATACCCTTACTGGGATTCGAACCTGTATTACATATTAGGCAGTTG